AACAAATTGCAGACTTTGGAACTTAATTAATTTCCAGCATTTAAGGTTGTCCCATTTTGTTAAGAGTTGAAAAGAGCCAATCGAAATTGTTCAAGCCGTGTTTGCAAAAATATTATTTGTCTGTTATTTTATGGGGTGTTAGGAAAAAAATCATCATTAAAAACCAGATTTAAAAAATTATGAAAACCCTAGGGATACCATGGATACGAACATACCGAATTTCATTATAAATAGACCAGGGGTAGTTTATAGTTCTACACCCACATTTACACATACAGACACGCACACATACCATCAAAAACCACTATTTGAGTTTATGGAAACCCATATTGGATATTTCCACCGAAAAACTCAAAACTCGAAAAGTTTATCAAAAACATAATTTCTCCTTAAACAATGAGTAGGGGAAAAAAGAAAAAAAGAAAACTAACTTGTTTTAAACTCTATTCAACTTTTTCAATCGGTGGAATGTGTGTATCAATACAAATATTGTTTACTCTTCACGATACTGTTTTGTGTATTTGACTAGGTGGATATTCAATCTATATGAGGAAAAGTTTCTAAGAAACTGGATGTTTAAATTGAGTCACATAATATAGAGATCATGACTACGTAATGAGATGATCCCTACTCAGGAGGATAATTCCAGCTGTGTTGTGTGTCATGAATAATTGATTAAGCTAATTCTCTTGGTTGCAACAACTTACTTAGCCTTCCATAGCTGCTTTATATATCAGGCTCATCTTGAGTGTAGCCTGTTGTTACGTTTCCTTTACGTTTCTGATTTGCACCAAAAGAAGACAAAAGGAGACTAAGACTCTTTAAAAGGATGCTACTGACTAATATCAGCTGTTTCAGACAGGATCATTTATTTAAACCGCAATGATCAGGAACAGCTGGGCAAGGTTTCGAACTATCAACAAGGTATCGTCTTTTCTCAAGGGCGATCGATCCGGCAACCTTTTGATTACCAGGCGAGCACTATAATTAAATTGTTTGAAAGTGCTGTGATTGTTAAAACTGTAATGTAAGTAAAACTATTAAGTACAATCCAGAATGTAGGTCAAAAAGCGTCGGGAAATGTGCTTTACTGTATTTTTAGCCGGAAAACCCCTTGAAGGTACACCAGATTAGAACGTGGCTGAGAAATTTAAGAATGAGAGGTAAAGACAAGGTAATGAAAGACATCTGTAGACTGGTGTTTAAGTTATAATTTGCTGTTGAGAAGGGAATGGAGGTGAACTATATTTTGGTGAGGCCAAAAACCTCTAAAAGATTTTGGTGGTCACGGAGATAAGGAAAGTTAGGAAGTGCATGCAATGAATGGTGTCATTAAAAAAATGTACTTCTTATTTTCACAAATACCGTTACCTAAAAGTACAAATACCCCCGTCACAGCAAACCTGCATACTAAGCGAATTTCCATTTACCCGGCTTGATTTCTACTAAAATATTCCCTATAAATTTTCAGATTTGTTTCCTATTTAAATAACATTAATTTTAGTGAGTACTGTAGTTAGGTTTGCTGCTACGGGGAAGATGTTGAGGTGTGTTTTATCAATTGAAATATTGATAGCTTAGTATGAAATAAACCAAATTGCCAAATTTGATTAAAATATAACCATAAACAAGCAAACTAGAACAGTTTATTTATTCTCCATAAGAATAACATGGGAGTTTTAAATTTACAATTTTTTAATTTTTCTCCGTAGTCAATGAACATTCAAAAACACTTCAATATACTAAATTATTTGTTTTTTAAGCTCTTCAAAATGGTCTAGAGAGAAATTTAGAAATTTAAAGTTTTTAGGGTCAAAAATGAGAAAACCCCATTTTACCCCGTAAAACCCCCCATAAACCCCTGATCCCATGGTCCGATTATGCTGGTTCGCGAACTCGTTCGAATAAATGAGGGTTTACACGTTTGTACCAAATTTCATCAAAATCGGATCAATTTTGCTCGAGTTATCGCGCTAACGGTCACATACAGGGTGATTGATATATGTGTGCCAGCCGTTTTATTCGAAAACTATAAGAGATATCGAAAAAAGTTAAATGGTAAGTGCCTCGGATTTTTTATTTAAAAAATTATAGTCAAGTCAAAAAAATTATTTTTGTCGCCATTTTTCCAATATAGCCACCAACTTTTATTTTTCTTATTGAACACCCTGTATTTTATGATGTATTCGGGTAGAAAAAGTAATTTTAAGACGATTTTATACTTGTGATTTTTTTCATAAACCTAACCGTTTCAAAGATAATAATGGTTTAAGTTGTGAAATTTTGAATGGTTTTCGAGCAAAACAGCTGGCATGCTTGCTTAGGCCTTTATCGAAACTCTTTCTCATGCAGAAATTTACCCCGTAAAACCCCCCATAAACCCCTGATCCCATGGTCCGATTATGCTGGTTCGCGAACTCGTTCGAATAAATGAGGGTTTACACGTTTGTACCAAATTTCATCAAAATTGGATCAATTTTGCTCGAGTCATCGCGCTAACGGTCACATACAGGGTGATTGATATATGTGTGCCAGCCGTTTTATTCGAAAACTATAAGAGATATCGAAAAAAGTTAAATGGTAAGTGCCTCGGATTTTTTATTTAAAAAATTATAGTCAAGTCAAAAAAATTATTTTTGTCGCCATTTTTCCAATATAGCCACCAACTTTTATTTTTCTTATTGAACACCCTGTATTTTATGATGTAGTCGGGTAGAAAAAGTAATTTTAAGACGATTTTATACTTGTGATTTTTTTCATAAACCTAACCGTTTCAAAGATAATAATGGTTTAAGTTGTGAAATTTTGAATGGTTTTCGAGCAAAACAGCTGGCATGCTTGCTTAGGCCTTTATCGAAACTCTTTCTCATGCAGAAATTTCAAAACTTTAACCATTATTATCTTTAAAACGGTTAGGTTTATGAAAACAATTACAAGAATAAAATCGTCTTAAAATCACTTTTTCTATCAGAATATATCATAAAATACAGGGTGTTCCGCAAGAAAAATCAAAGTTGGCGGCCATATTGGAAAAATGGCAGCTAAAAATTTTTTTTGACCTTACTACAATTTTTTTAATAAAAAATCCGAGGCACTTACTATTTAACTTTTTTCGATATCTCTTATAGTTTTCGAATAAAACGGCTGGCACACTCATATCAATCACCCTGTATATAAATAAATATATATATATATATATATATATGAATTTGAATGGATAGTGTTTTTGGCCTCTGGGGACCTCAAAACGAAAAAGTAAATCGGTCCCGGGTCTAGGTCTTACCGTGAGACCTACGGTAATAGCTTATTCCCTATATGGGAAATTCGCTAAAATAAGCCAAATAACACTTGTAATAATATATTTACTACTTTTTACTCACAAGACGGTAAATACAACTAATGGTAAGCATATAAATGAGTGTTACGCCTATTGGGTCTGATGATGGTTGGATTGTCCATTCGAAATCGATCACCATCTTTTATGTGTATTTACCGTCTTGTGAGTAAACAGTATTTGTGTAAATGTATAATAACAAGTGTTTATTTTTTACCTGTTTTTGCACTTTCAGTTAATTTAATAACACGTATGATGCTGACCAAGAAGTTGTTTAAATACTTTATTATATCATTCAAAAACAGGATAAGCAGAGAATGTTTTATGAAACAAATATTATTGTGTACAAATAAAAGCCTACTAATATTCCTTTTATCTTTACCTTAAATTTCACAGCCTTCTATCCTCACAAAAACCCTATCAATATAATTTAAGACACAACTACGAAATCTAAAAGGTAAAACAACGCAACTTGGTTATATTAAATTAACAACCATCAACTGTCAGATGAAAATGGAGTCAGACATTAAACTAATGTTACGTTGTTCCGCAGTCCAAGTGAAGCTAACTGAACCAGAAACCAACTGTCAGAGATGATAGGAACGGACTGTCCAACTTGGGTTGGACACTCTTCCGCTCTCCAAGCGTCCTTCTCATAAATCTGATATGGTTATGGTTGAGTAAGAAATGTACAACAATTTAGTGTTTTTATTGAAATTCCTTATAGAAAGGACGTATTTGAGAATGTAATTGGTTGTGTATCCATATTATGTAAATACATACCTTAATCCTTAATGTAATGTTTGTACTAAATACTTTTCCCCAAATTAAAGTTTTAAAAACGATGATTCCACTCATTTGGAATTGTATTATTGTCTGATTTTATGTACAGTTTATAAATTATTATAGGTTTCAAAGTATAACCGTAAGACGAGTTTGTCAAAAATATTTTGATTTCTTTCTATGTATATTCAAAAATTATTTTATAATATTAAACTTATTAAGCTACTTTCACCCTCCATTTTATTTGGAAATTACATTGTAAAAGTTTCTTTTAAAATATAAAATAAAATAATCTACTGGAATCTTTCTATTGTATATCTTTCTAGCTTCTTGTAATATTAGTTTTAGTCAAATCAATTAAGCCATGCATGTTACATATTATATTTGCATCAAGCATCATGAAAGTCTAAATTTTAAATAGTTATTACCATGTATAAATAAATTAATAAATAAATAAATTACAAATAATATGCTCGCAAGTTTTGGAACATAAATGAACTTGGTTAAAATGAGCCTTCAACAGAATTTTCTATGGTCAAATACGGAATGTTTGTTGATTTCATTAAATTTAAAACAATCAAAACTAAAATGGTAAATGATATTGTTTTGAATCTTGAAATAATTACCAGAAATGATAAAATAATTATTTCACAAACAGATTAGTAGGCTTCTTTTATTTATTCCAAAGTCTTAACTGAATCTTCAAACAATTAAATTAATTCAATACAAAATATTTAACATGTGTTAAACCAAAACACAGTATTTTAGAAAAAATATAACAGTCAGATCAAAAGGAAAATCAATGAAGTGGAAACATATTCAATAAAGTTCACAACATCCTCCCCCCATTTAAAATTGCTAACCAAACATGTGCAATTTTAAATCAGTAAAATCGCTCGGGCACTTTGACTTCTCTTCCACATCTGGTTTTCTTCTTAGCGAAATCAAAGCCTTCGTTTTGAACTATAACATCTTCTTCTTCAAGTGGTTTATTTTCTTTCAAACACTCTTTTTCACAAGCTGTGATTTCTAATGGAAAAAGTCTTTGTAGTGGTCTTGTCAAAATACCATTTCCAGTTTTTAGTCTTGCGACTCTGGAGAATCCATCTCTTCCTGGATATACATCTTGTACCAACCCCAAAGGCCATCTTATTCGTTTTGTGTTATCATCTCCTATCAATACAACTTCTCCAATAATGGGTTCTCTACTTTTCTTGTTTTTTCCATTGTGAATGAGTGTAGCCAAATACTCTTTCTTAAACCTGTCTCTTAGTGATCTTCTTAATTTGTTTATATAACACACTCTTTTATTTAAACTTAGACACTCAATTTCATCCAAATCTGGTAATTCAGCTGTTGATGTTGGTTGTAAGAATAGGGCTGGAGTTAATGGTTGTAAACAGTCATCATCATTCGAAAGATAAGTCAAAGGTCTTGAATTTACAGTTGCTTCACAATCACACAAAATTGTTGAGAGTTCTTCCTGCGTGACTGATGAATTTCCCAAGTTTCGTCGTAAAATTTCCTTTACCACTCCAATAAGTCGCTCCCACCATCCGCCCCACCATGCCGCTGAAGGAGGGTTGAACTTCCATTTAATCCTCTGGATAGATGAAAACTTTTCAATTTCATCCCAGTTGATCCGTCTGAGAAGATTACTTGTTCCAACAAAGTTCCTCCCGTTATCTGAATAAATTGTGACAACACGACCTCTTCTCGCTACAAACCGACGAAGAGCAGAAATGAAAGCTTCTGTAGACAGAGAAGTTGTAAGTTCGAGGTGGATCGCCCTATACACAGCACATGTGAACAGAACTATGTATGCTTTTATACCTTCTTTTAAGAACAATGGCCCGGCAATGTCTACACCCGTTGTCTCAAAAACTTTTGAATCACTTATTCTTTCAAGTGGCAAGGGAGGGGGTGGACACTGAAGAGGTTTTCCTTTGTGTCGCTTACATATGACACATCTTGATATTATCTTTTTGACAGAGTTCCGACACCTCAAAATCCAAAATGTTTGACGTAAAATTGACACCAAAGTATTGATCCCAGCATGAAGATGTAGACGGTGCTTTTCTGCTATAAGCTTCTTCGTCATCTCATGGTTTGAGGGCAACAATATTGGAAACTTAAAATATTCGTCATCGTTCATTAAAGTCAATTTTGATTTCACTCTTAACAAATCATTTTCATCAGTAAAAGTCTGCATTTTGTTTCTTGATGTTAACTCTTGAGACGATTCCTTTTGTATACACCACAGTAATTTTGTTTCCGCATGTTCTATTTCTGATCCATTTAGTTCACCAGAAGTCTTGCTTCCTTTTAAATTGTTATAGAAACGGAATATCCAACCAATTACCCTGACGTTCTTTGTGAATCGATCAAAATAATTCAACTGATCAGTGAACTTAGGATCTTTAACTGAAACAGATGAAACAACAGTTTTTCGCCTTTCTTGATCTACTTCATCTGCTGTTGCTATAGCTTCACTACGTGGCCACATGTCTTTTGAACGCTTTAGCCATTCAGGACCTAACCACCATTTATTTTCTGCCAAGGATTTTCCACTGCAGCCTCTTGAGGGAATGTCTGCTGCATTGTAAGCACCAGGGATATGACGCCAGTCTTCAACATTGGTATTAAGAGATATTTCATTGCACCTGTTTCCCACAAAAGTACTCCAGTTTCCTTTTGTCTTAATCCATGTCAGGCTAACCATTGAATCAGTCCAAAAATAGTATTTGCAATTAGGAATATTCAGGGTTGACTTTACAGAAACGAACAATCTTGACGCTATCAGTGCTGCTGTTAATTCTAAACGTGGAATAGTCAGGGATTTTGCAGGTGCCAATCTGGATTTGGCCTCAACAAGTTGGATTGTGACATGTTCACCTACTTCAACTCTTATAAAGATACATGCTGCATATGACATTTTACTCGCGTCACAGAATGTATGGAGACTTATGTACAATGATGGACCTACACAATCACTAAACCTTCGAGGAATCCTACAACTTGACAAATAGTGCAAGTCTTTTATCCACTTATCAAACTGTTGTAAGATATCATATGGTAGTTCATCATCCCAACTCAGTTTTAGCTTCCAAACCTGTTGCAGTAACATCTTGGGGATCAAAGTAAATGGACAAGTGAATCCTATCGGATCAAATATACGATGAGATATCGACAATAAACTTCTTTTTGTGATTGGTTTATCAAAAATGCTTACAGAATTCACATTACAGTAAAGCTCGTCTGATTTTACATCCCACATTAATCCTAAGACAGGAACCGAGTTGTCTGAGAGATACATATTCTTTTCTTCAGACTTGTATATTTCTTCTGGCAGCAAAACATTACTTGCCCAACTATGAAGCTCAAACTTGGCTTTTGACAAAAGAAGCTGAGATTCTTCTACAAATCGATGAAGTTCATATTCACTCTCTACACTGGTTACACAGTTATCAACATAGAAAGACTCTTTCAATTTATTTGCCGTATCTTTCATAGTTTCAGGAGAGTTCTCCAGGTGATGAGCTAAAGTAGCACTCAACAAAAATGGGCTAGAAGAAACTCCAAATACCACCCTACAGTGTCGAAACTCAGATATTTCTCTAGAATCATAGTCCTTCCACCACAAAAATCTTAAAGCGTCTCTGTCACTTTCTGTTAAACTAACTTGCAAGAAAGCTTTCTTAATATCTGAAATAACGCCTATTGGGTGTTTTCTAAACTTCATTAGAAGAGCTGGAATTAGTTCTATTAAATTAGGTCCCTTTTCCAAACAAGAGTTAAGAGAATTCCCCCTACTATCGACAGCAGAAGCATCAAAGACTGGTCGAACCTTAGTAGTCAAACTGGATTCTTTGACCACAGCGTGATGAGGTAAGTAGTGTACAGGTCTATCAGTTACAGAGGACTCAACAACCCTTTCAATAATGTTTGAATTTAACCACTCTGAAAATACCTGATCATACTCATTGAACTTTTCTAACTTAATCAACTTCTTGGTCACTGCATGTAGTCGCTTCTCGGCTGTAACTTTGTTGTCCATAAGCTCCGGATGGCCTTCAATCCATGGAAGAGTCACCTCGTACCTATTTTCACTATTTACTACAATAGTTTTGTTAAAATGCTTCAAAACATCTGATGCATTCGCCTCCTTTGTTTTACTACCTGATGGATCAGTGATGCCCAAAACATCTAAACGCCATAGATCTGAAATGTCCATTTTAGCAAAGCAACTAATACTAATAAGTGACTGGTAACTTTTTCCACATTGTCCCATTACTGTCCATCCTAACACAGTCTGAACAGCAACCAGAGTGTGATCTAGCTGTTCAATTTTACCTGTGAGCAGTTGGCCCAAGATATCAGCTCCTAGTAGTAACTCTATTTCTTCTGCTGCATCTTGTCCAATATCTGAAAGGTATATATTCTTCTTCTTTAAAATGGGAAAATACCTTTTTGTATCTAATCTGGGTATGTAATTGCAAATCTTGTCTTGATCAAGCACATTAACTGAAATGCCAAATTTACCCTTTGTGTCACGTAACTCTACTTGGTAAAGATTATGTGGAGTCTCTTTAGTTTTAATACCTCCAAACAAACCATGAACTATTAATTCCTCACCAGATTCTATTAATTTAAGTTTCTCTACACAGTCCTTAGAGATATAAGACCTTTGAGATCCAGAATCCAACAATGCTCTTACTAGTAAAGATTGCTGGTCAGGTCCTATTACTTTTACTAGAAGAGTTTGTAATAAGGTTTCCTTATTCTGATTTGCAATCAAGGACTCAGATTTGTCATTAATTTGAACACTTTCAATCACATTTGATTTGCCATAATCATGAGTATTACTGTGCATCATTTTCTCTAAACTAGGACACATTAAGCAGTAGTGTTTCCTTTTACAGATAGCACAGGATACAAAAACTTTACATTTATTACTGCTGTGACCTAACTTTAAACATGAGAAACAAGCTCCCTTTTTTGTCATAAACTCTCTCTTATCTTTTAAAGTAAGCTTTTGTAACCCAGAACAGTCTTGAGTGTTGTGATTTCCTTTATTACAAAATAAGCATGTAGGCTTACTCACCACTGAAGAGCTGTCTGTAGCAATTATTGTAGATGCTGTAGGTAAAGGTAGTCCTTTCTCAAACCCACTTTTCATACCAGGACGTTGGTGATGGTATCTCTTCTGTGGCTGGGTGTCACTTGTTGTAGTGTCTCTGTCCACTGCAAAACTGTTCCGAGCAAGAGCTAAACGTTCTTCGCTTTCGACCTCGGAACGTACAAAATTCAACAATAGCTGTAAATAATTTGAATTAGATGACTCGCTACCTATAAATTCACCTAAGCCTATTTTGTTTGTCGTTCTGTACCGCTCCCATGCTCTGAGAGTATCAGTTGGTAGAGCAGATTCAACCAGTGGGTATAGCATGGCAGCATACTTATCTGATGTGACCCCGAGTGTTTCTAGGGCACGAAGTTGAGTCTCAAGTTTATCAGAAAGGGTTGAAAGTGGCATGATACTTTGTTTGTTGGCTTGTTTCAAAACTAAATTTAGTAATTCTCTTACATAAACTTCAATCATAAGTTCATCACGTGCAAACCTGGATTTCAATTGTTCAATAGTCTTGATGTAATTTTCACCAGAAGGAGGAAAAGAATCTATTAATTCCCTAGCTGGTGAACCAGGTTTCAAGGATTGAATTAAATATTGAAATTTGTCTTCAGGTTTAATTTCACTATCTTCATGAATCTTTTTGTACTGACCCCAAAACCCAATCCAATTCCTAACATCCCCATCAAATGAAGGTAATTGCAATTTAGGCAAATGAAAGTTACGGTTTGGTTTGTAAATAATGTTTGACTCACCATTGTTGGTAGGTGTTTTAAGAAACATTTCATACTTAGCCTTCATCAGGTACCATTTCTTCTTGTATTCTTCTTGTGTGTCCAGTTCATTGTCCAGATCAGCATCAGAAGCATCTTTCATCAGCATTTCATCAGAGATTTTTCCATCCATTGCCATTAATGCTGTTATTTTGTCTTCAATTTGAGAAAAGTTTACTTTTATTTGAGTTTCTTTATCATTCATTGACAGGTCTTCATTATTAAATGCTTCTTCCAGTTCATTATAAACCTTGGTGAATAGCCTTCTAATCTGTGATCTTTTCTTTTTCATATTTTCTAGGCTTTCCATATTATTATAACTATTAAATAACCCAGATGTCTTAAATTAAAGAAAATGTCCTGTCACGGTCGCCAAAATGTTTTGAATCTTGAAATAATTACCAGAAATGATAAAATAATTATTTCACAAACAGATTAGTAGGCTTCTTTTATTTATTCCAAAGTCTTAACTGAATCTTCAAACAATTAAATTAATTCAATACAAAATATTTAACATGTGTTAAACCAAAACACAGTATTTTAGAACAAATATAACAGTCAGATCAAAAGGAAAATCAATGAAGTGGAAACATATTCAATAAAGTTCACAACAGATATTAAACAATTGTAATCTATCTTTTAATGTTATACGGCTTGTTCGAAAAGGTGGAGATATAGTTTATGTCAAAATTCCTTGGGTCAAAATAATTAAAAAGGTTCACATAAAGATAATAATACTGTATGTCCTATCTCGTTTTGGTTATCGTCCGTCTGTATGTATGTTTTTTTACAAACTCCCGGTTTAAGCTACAGCGCTGAGATTATGCGAATATGTTCATCTTATAGACAGCCTTTGTGTAAAATAAGAATGAAAACACATAAATTGTTTCAAATGGTAGCTATTTTAAATACGAGATTTTAAATTTTTTTTAAACCGCTAGTTTTACGAAATAGTTGCTAGGGACATTACAATTTTGTAAATTGTATAAAGATTTAAACGGTAAGACGTAATTTCGACAAAGAATTACTGGTAATTTATTTCATTCGCCTACAGTTTTCTTCATAGTAACACTGTTTAAAATAGCTTAGTTGATTTAAGACTCATGATCGTAGGTTTATTTTATTAAAAACCTAGCTACAACATAAACAGTTGAATAAAACATTAACATAATCAAAGGTTAAGTCTTCAGTTCCTAATAAGTAAAAAGAATAGTTGGTTCAAATAACACAAATTACGGCGTTTAATTCAGTAGGATAATTACTCTTCCTAAACTGTGTTAATGAGATAAGCGGTCATACATCACAGTAGCATATAACTCATATCCATAGGGGTGTAGGTATTTAATGGCCTCACCTGGCTATTATGGTTTGTTACCTTTCCCAATAATTGTACAGCTGTTATTTATCAAAATTGATAATAACGGGTTTGAGTTCATCCCATTTTGAAGCAGCCATGTAGTGATTTAGGCATAGGGAAGAAAATTAAAAGTAAGTAAATTACATTGCAAACTAGACAGCTATTTTAATTCTCGAACAGTTATCATATGCTATACACTACTCCAACTCAAAGTGACAGCTACAATAACACTAACTTCGTAGTTATGAGTTATTAGATGAGAATGGTATGAAATAAAATTAAAGTGAAATGCAGTAGTCCATGTAATTATTAGTAAAATACAATGAAACAAATATCTACGATGGTTCTACGGACGTTTTGTGTTTCTTTACATCAACAATATAGTATTTAATGAATCATCGCTTCAGGCAAACATATGCTGTTTTCATTAAATAATGAAACCATTTTTAAGCCATTACAAGTTCTTAAACGATTTGTAATGTGTGTCGTCACAGAAACAGGTTATCTTTGGGACCAAACATTGTTTACTCTCGAAGATTGGATCGTGTTCACCGAGAGCTCACCTTGTATTTATACAATAAAAGCTAACATACTACTATAAGGTTAGATAAATTGTCAGCCATATTCCGATTGCAAGGCAAACGATAACTTAATATATGTTATAAAACTGAAATGATTATTTCAAGATAATAATAAAAATCTATTGTATTCAGTAGGGCTAGATTTAAAAACTTTTGTTCATAAAATGCTGATCTGATCAATATACATACTGATTAAATTGTATTAATTATAACACCTTTTAATCATTACTTGATTTCAAATCAATAATTATTTCTACGAGTACTTGAAAGTAAAACAGCTATTTTTAAACAAGCGAGCTTGTCTAGTGGTTAGAGTGTGGTACTTCAGTCCCGAGATCAAATCCTGTAATATCACTAATGAATTTTATCTAAGTGATAATGCGCAAACTCTAGGCCTACCCTGAAGTAATGTGAAAACAATCCAGGGCTCGTGCCTAGCGTCCTAGGACAATAATAATTAATGTAGCTGTTAACTGTTCCATGGCTGTAACAGTTTTATCGACCTAAAAAATTGTACAAGTATTAACACATGATTACACTACAATCAAAGAAGTTCATCGTCAAAAAACAACCACTTGTAAAAAAATGTAACTGTAAATCACGCACGATATTTCGTCATGTCACAGCACCCTTCAAACCTGTAATCAACTTTTAATATTCATTAACTCCAGCTTATCAAAGGACTTTTACGAGGTGGGCTCGGTTTAGTAGCTGTGTTTATGATAGCCGGATGACAAGAGTGGCAGCCTCTGCGGTTTTCCTGTGTCAACATTGGCCGTGATACGTGCCACTACAACCAACTTGGCTCAAATTAAAAACCGTGAGATAAAACTGATGTAATCAACCTCTCTGGACCTTTATGACGTGTCGTTTGGAATTTTATTTACATAATTTATTCTAAGTGGACTACAGCAGTGGACTGTAACATTATTTTATCGTTGAGGAATATCACAGAATTATTTTATGGTGCTGATTAGTAGTTATAGCATGGACTTAAGGACCGTGTTAATAGGTTACTTGCTTACTGATAATTAAGTATTCATTTTACTCATAAAGCGTTTTGTTTCAATATTGTTTAAACAAAGTAAATCAGACCATCCGTGCACAACGGTTTGACTCAACAAGCGTAAAAAAAAGGACCTATTTAATTGAAAATCTGACATTTAAACTTGTTTGTGGGTTACAATTGTATAATGTCTCTTTAGGCACTTTTATTTATATGTTGGGATCATTTAACGTACAAATTTATGTCCGAAAATTTATTTTAAAAATTTAAAACACGTCTAAAATCCAAGATATTAAAAAACAAATTAAGTAGGGCGTTTTTTGAAGCTGAAGGAGCGCAACTTTCGAAAAACCCTCGAAATATCTTGTAGAAAATGTTATTCCCGACTATACAAATTCTTTCAAATCTTTGCTTACCGTTTTCGAGCTATAGCCGATAAAAAAACGTGTTTCCTAAAAAAATTGGGATTTAAGGAAAATCTTTTTGGGGTGGTTGTAATTTGGAAATGTATTTTTTTTTTCTGAGTGGTTTAGATGGACCTCCACAAAGGATTTCAGACCCCTAGCTATTCTAGAAGTGGGTAAATATTTGTATACCTAATCAGTGAGTCAGTGAGTTACACAAGCAGCTGTATATCCCGTTAAAGTATGTGCACGGGTAGTCTGATTATCCCTGTATATTTATAGCGAATAAAACTACTGTATTAGGCAATTATGAGATCAGCATGGCACAGTGATATGGTAGTATACAATACTAGAAACTATAATTCAATACAAAATGACATCCCACAAAACCTACAGTATTCAGTACAATACAATAATAGAGTATGGAATAGTATAGAAGAGATCATGTAATACAGTTGAATGAGACTCAATATCGTGCTAAACAGTACAGAGCAGTCCATTATAATACACTACATTGTAATGCAATATCTGTTTAAAATATACCAACATAAAATTAACCACTATTTACATGAAAAACGAAACAATTCAAATAAAGAAATACTCTACAAGGATATTACAAATACATTTTAAGTTAACACATTGTATTCATTATAGTTTTATTTTATCATTTAGGAACTTTTCTCCGTAAAATGTGGTTTCTACGGATTTAAATTGCCATAGTTGCTCTACGGATTTAAAAATAACCACTCCGTGCTTCTGATAAAATATACAACGATAGCTAAACTCGCTGGAATGGCTTTCTTGACAAATCGCTCCAACGACGACTTACAAAATGGATGTCCAGTTGATGTAACCTTCATGAAATATTCCGTACGACCAGGCGGACATTGATTCTCCCCAAGTGCTCGCTTTGGAACTGTTGGACTTGTACCTTCTTTAATATTGCAATAACACTTTCAAAAGTGTCCCTGCCAGTGGCATCAATTTATAATTTTGGGATAAAATTTTAGTGTAGAATAATTGTTAATATGCAATGTATGTTACGTTAACTAAATGATAAAATTACAAGAATGCCAGAAAATTAACTTCGTAGATTAAAAATTAAAGTTTTACCCAAAGTTGCGAACACGTATAAACAAATCTCCAGGATTGCTAGTAAATATATTGATTTGTCAAACAGGGCTTTGAGTATTTCATTTAGCATCGTTAAGTATGATTGAACAAATCTTAGCTTTTGTAAAGGATTTGGTAGGTTAAATTTATCTCTCAAATTCCAGACTATTTGATTTTGTGTCTCGTTCGGTTGCACGGCGGGCCGCAAAACCATTACAGCAATATCGTGGGTTCCCGTAGCGGTGGAGTACCTAAATGTGTTTTGGTACTGTTAATTTTTACCTAAGGCTGTTTTTTTTAAACTAGCCATTTCAGATCAGTACTTACAATTGAAAATATTAATTTAACAGCATTGTTTACTTACTTACATCATTGTTGTTTTACTTAACAACACAGGTAACGGACCAATTAGGTTCAATGATTAAGAGAAAATAAGTAAAATTGTAATGATTTAAACTTCAACTAATCAGCTGTTCAGGCCAATTTAATTGTTGAGTGATGAGTGGTGCAATTAGTGTTTGGCACAATGATTCGTTGTATCACTGTCAGTGGCAATGAGAGGTTATAAACGAAAACATAACCTCTCTTAGAAGTTATGAGAAGTGATTGTTAGTAATTTTACAACTGTCTGTCGTAGGTAAAGTAGCGTACGCAACTCGCGAGAATAGTCCT